AGTTATTCTTGTTTAAAATTTTAAAAAAACTTACTAAAAAAAATTTGCTTGGTTTCTATTGACTCAACCCCATATATCAGATATGTCTAAGTTATACATTTAATGCAGTACTCCATAAATAGAATTGATATTTCTCTAAATTCATATTTTAAAAAAGAGAATTTTAATGCTAGCTGGAGGCGAAATTTACCGGGGGTGCTATATCTCAAAAAAATACTAATTAGAGTTAAAGGTTCTAAGTAATAATGTTCAGGACCCCAAAAACCTCACGAGGATCGACTACGAACGGCTACGATTATTCATAGCCAATTTTCTAGATACTGAGATGATTTTTTGTTTCCATATTATAAGTAGAAAGAACGATACCTTCTCTGGAACTCAGAATTTTAAGATCTGTAACGTTATAGCCGGCTATGACGTTAACAAATCTTAAAATTCCGAGTTCCAGAGGAGGTATCGTTCTTTCTATTTATAATATGGGATGACCAAAATTTAATTCTGAACAACTTTAATTAAAAGCTCGAGAACAAAAAATCATCTCAGTATTTAGCAAATTGGCTATGAATAATCGTAGCCGTTCGTAGTCGAACTCATCCCTACTCACGAGAACTGAAATCAGGACCTTATATCTAATCTACATTATGTTATATAAATTTTAAAACTGCTCCTAATCCTAAAAATTCTTAGGCCGGTAAATTTCATCACCGGTGAATAGCACATAATTTTCATTTCTGTTGTTCTGAGTTACACTTGCAATGTAAAAAAAGAAACCCAATTTTTTAAAATTGGGTAATTTGAATAAAAAAAAAAAATCATAAAAATAAAAAAGGCTAAATTATTGAAATACATATGAAAATTGGTTAAATAAGTTATAAATAAATAAAAAAAATCGAAAAGCATAAGTATGATTGGTCATGTGATTGGAAGAATGCCGGCACGCCAAAGGTGCCGGAAATAAATTCAATTAAAGGACTTTAAGTCCACAGAATACATTGTGAGTAATTTGAACTGAGTAATTTGAGCTGAGTAATTTGAACTGAAACGATGATATGCTCCCGGGAAAATTAGAGAGATTGCGCCCAGGTATCATCGTAACAGTAGAATGAGTGATCAGCCGGTGGTTTCCCGCCTGCTCGAACTGCTCGAAGCAGGCCGGCTGTTAAATAGGAAAATGGCAGAATCAGGAGAGTGTTCTCATGTGTGGGTTGGGTCGAGAAAATGACGGTTATAATGCTTGATTGTGTTTGCAAGGGGAAAGAGTAGAATGTTGGGAATTGATTTATTCATCGTTTCTTTTATATTGATTGAGGTCGTGGCTTTTGTTACGCAGCTGTGTTCGCATGAGAAACTGTTGATGTCTCTTTCTGTTACGTAGCTGTGTTCGCATGATAAATCGATATGGCCCTCCATTACGTAGTCGTGTTTGCATGAAAACTGATGCGGTCTCGGTTCCCAACTTGGCAGGGTTGTAGCACGTGGCGTGTAACCCTGACCACTCTCCCTTGTAGGGTTTTTAAGATACTTGATACCGTATTATACAATTGGTATAATACCCGTATAATACCAGTATTATACACAGAGGGTATATGTATAATACCATAATTAAAAATAATTTAGCCAATTAAATCGTTTTATTTGAGGACACGAAGATTTCCGATTTAAACAAGCTAATTTTTAGAAATTTCCGAAATATTCCGAACCATATTAAACTATAGAAGCAAAATATTGGTAATGCCGTATTATACAGTATTATACGGTATTATACCTGGTATCATACTACTATTTCTATTATACCGGTATAATAAAAACCCTACTCCCTTGTCTTTTCGATCCGTTGACTTTTTGTCAACATGCATTAAATAAAAAAAAATTAATCTAAATAATTCAACAAAAAAAAAATTTAATTATTACAAATAAAAAAAATTAATATGAATAAAAAAGTAAAGAGAATAAGACAAATTGGTAATAAAAAAACTTTATCAATAATGCAGTAGATAATCAGATGAAACATAATTATTCGATACGTCAATAGATGGAATGGGAGATAACCTAAAGTACTTATCAAAAACACGAATCACTTAGCAAACCGGATAGCACCATTATTGTAGGTTATTAGCAATGGCTCGTTTATCTGGCAAGATAAATTATTTTACAAATAATTTTCAGATTGTTCTATAGAATAGGTGGGCAAACTCCGGCAAATATCACGTGAATATACTAAATACTAATCATCGACGAAGCTTATTTTTTATATTGCCCACCTATTCTATAGAATATCCTCAGAACATTTAACAGTACCTGATTTCTTTAGCCAATTTTCTGCAGTAATGATCTGCTTGTACAGTTTATAACCGATCGATATAAGATCGTAATCGATGACATTTACATTTCTTGGCATTCGCGCAGCTAATATTTTAAAGAAAAAGATATAAATTAAAATTTTCCATTCTATATATAAGTTAAGTTTTGTTTGTCTTACAACATATGAGTGATGAAAAGGAAAAACCTGTAAATCATTTCATTCATTATCATCGCAGTGATATGTACTCCTAATTCTTATAGGGATAGATATCACAGCAATGATATAGTTTACAGGTTTTCCCTTTTCATCACTCATATATATTATTATAAATTTTCATGCATTTCCGACTTTCTTTCTCATGAAGTCAAGAAAATTATGTCTGCCGATAATTTATATTGTGTAGCGCGCAGTAACATAAAAACACACCAATGTGTATCATAAAATCTTTTTTTTTTTTGAGAAAAAAGTATAGTTTATCTTAATAACCCCCCTTCCTATATGATATAGTCGATAATTTCTTTCTTTCCTAAAAATTTCTTGGCATATACTTTTTCCCAATCATGAAGTTAGCTTTAGTTCTACTTCATATTCTTTTATCCGTTATCACTTTTCAGACACTACTTGGCATTCTTGATATTATTGATATTATTCATTTTTAGATTTCGATATTAATATTTTAGTATTACGTAAAATTGGATCTTGTAAATTTAGGATAATTAAATAAAGCAAATTCCACAAATCTGCAGAATTGACATACTGTACATTAAATTCATCTTTACTTTGTTTAACACATTCTTTTCTCAATTTTTATGCAATAGCGGAACTAAACAATGCAACACTTCAGATGGGCAAAGCGTACTTTCTACCGAATACGATCTATTAACCAAAAAATATCGAGTACTTGCACACTAATACCTTTTTCTCCGCCGGTGCTTTTATGGCTAATGGTACATTAATTTGAAACTGGTGGCGATGTAATTGTTGGTATTATGGGTGCTGGAATCCAATCTTTACGTATGTATAATGGATGTGACGATCAAACATGTGATTGGATCGAATATCCAATATATATGACCACTTCTAGGTGGTATAATACTATGGTTAGGTAATTAATATTTTTGCTGTTATAATATTTTTGTTGTTATAATATTATGGCTAAATAATCTATTTACTATTATTATTATTTAATTTATACTTTTGACATGTTTATTTTTTTTTACAGATTACCTGATTGTCGCGTAATGAACTTTGGAGGATGTACAAAAGCTACTGATAAAAATACTAAAGATATAAATACCCCTTCTGTTGAATTCTTTCCAAAAACTGGCGTGAATGATACTGCAGTAACTATTCAACTTCTTTTGGGCACATAGGTTTTTTTTTTTTGTCTATAAATACAAATCATAAAATTAAATTACCATTTCTAATTCATGGATATAATTTTATTTTTGTAATAAAAAAGACTACCCTTTAATCTTTATCCAGTATGCATAGTTCTCCCTGGTCCTGCAGATCAAATTGGCTCTTTATGTCTGCTAATAAAAAAGCTCAAATTTGGGATTACGTAAAACTAGAAGTAGTAAAAACACTACCTGACGTCCCCGGTTCATCACGTACTTCCATTAATAGGATCTGCTACGTTATTACCATTAAATTATACTAACAATTACACTGCTGAAATATTATTTTGTGGTGGTTCTTATGAGATGAAACCTGAGAATGTTGCTGATGCTACTTGTGCAAGAATCAATTTAGGTAATGATAATCCTACTTGGGAGATAGAAGATTTTGGAAATCCTGCTCAACCTCGGGTTATGACTGATGCTATATTGATGTCTGATGGAAAAGTGTTGTATTTAAACGGTGCGGTTAATGGATATGCAGCCTGGGGTGTGTTTGTTTAATACTATTATTATTATTAACATAAATAATAATAATAATAATAATAATAAGGGCGATGACATATATTACCTAATATCCATTTACTATGAGACCATACCCACCCACCTAAGACCAGTCAAAATGCTCAATTTTGTTACACAAAAACGTATATTTATCCCATATAATGTTCAAATAATTCTTGATTTTGATTGGCTATTATTATAGATTGTGTAACCTGATCCCACCTCCTAAAATATTAGCTAATACCTGTCATTGCCTAATGATAATATAATAATAATGATAGATAAAGGGCCAACTACCAATAGACTTCATACGGCCCAAAACCCTGTAAAAACTCCACCTCTTTATTGATTTTGTTGCCAGATGGAACTGTTTTCGTGTCAGGAAGTAATCCCAATTCTCCCTCTTGTTTCAGCTGTGAATATCCAACTGAGTATGTATATTATTGTATTTTTTTTTTTTTTTTTATTTTGTCTTGTTCTCTCTTTAAAAAGATATCGAGTCGAGAGATTTACACCGCCACACTTATTAACTGGTGCTCCCCGTGCTACAATGAAATCCGTGGCTGGATCCACATCTATGAATGGATTAGCTGCCATAACAGTAAATTATAATCAAGTTGTAACAGTCGTTATTGCCATCAGGTGCAGTATTTACTGTATGTTTAATACATCATGGATTTGTAACACATTCAAATCGCATGCCACAAAGAATGGTAACTTTAAAAGTTGAAAGTGTTATTCCAATGAGTACGGGATACGCTATAGATGTGGTTATGCCACCTAATTCTAATATAATGCCGTCAGACCTATTTGTACGTTTTAAGTAATGGCGCACCAGCTGACACTGCTGTTGAAATTAATCTTAAGCAATGAACTCTGGGGGAAGGATAATATTATTAATATGTTTATAATAGACTATATGTTCTTGGCCAATTATGTCCAATGAACATTACATTAATTCTGGCACATTTTATTTGCATCATAGAAATGAACGGCAAAATTTGTAAATCTCTGTAATCATCTTATACAAAAGTTTTGCATACTTAGCTTTTATTGTTCTAATGATTATTTTTGATCATTCGATAAAATTCTCTTTTTTACATCATATACATGTAACTCTGTAATTATTGAATTAAAAAAATGAATAAGGTTAGTGAACCCTATTATCATAAAAGAGCAGCCAGTGTTGCGGTTAAGGAATTTGCTTCACATATAATAGATTTCAGTTCTATTGCTATTGCTAATAGATAAATATTTCAATCATGCTTATATATTTATTAATAAGTGTTAACTCACATCTACGAGGGTAAATCGTCATGCAATACTTTAACAAATTGTATAAACCTTTTTTTTTTTTTCTGTAAAAAGTTGTATCTTTGCGGACTATAAATTAAAAAAAAAAAGAACCAAGAATACATAAGAGCATAATAAAAAGAATAATTATCTATTGCTGTATCTAATCCTTTGTTTTACATAGAAGATTTCGTCTGAAAGGATTGACCATTGAGATTTACATATATGATCAAATTTCTATTTTCATCGAGACTACGTATTAAGCATTAGAGACTTTTAAATTACCCGGGTATTTTCATTACTCAATTTTGTACCCGGGGTACTTCTATATGGGGGTACGCCGTATTAAGATAATATGTTTTACTATATCTACCTGGATGATATACATACTGTAGTATTATAATACCTATGTACCCGGGTATAAGTCACCAACTGGCCCTTAAAACTGCTAGAGGGTACACGCCATGAGGGGTATACGCGTCCGGATTTTACAGTAGTTCAATCAAAATCTTTGAGCACTGGTAACCTTTGATGACTTTAATGTTTTAAGCGATTCCTTCGTATACGTTCATTATAAGTTAATTTCTAATGAGTTATTTTCGGACTAGAGAACAAAGCTGGATAATCAAAATAGGCGAATTCTATTTACATTTTCTATTTTATTATATACCTAATTATAGACAAAAATCTCAAATCCACAGCTATGAGTGGAATTTGAATGTTCTAAATCCATATTTTAGGAACTCTACTTATCACAATGTAGATCAGTGTTGGCACTTGGTATATGTCCATATTTTTTTAAAAAATTTGGACTATGTCCAAACCTATATGCCCATGTCCATAAATTACTATGTCCATATTTGTCCATATTATTTTTAATAAGTCCAAATGTCCATATAGCCCAACACTGATGTAGATTGTTTCTGAATCCTCTAATTCTATATCATGAACATACATTCCAAACATCACTCTATCTTTCATCACTTCATTAAGGTACTCTTCAGGGCCATCTGGGAGGAGGATATGAGTTTCTGCACCATAAAAATTCGTATGTATAAATAATATTTGAAGAGCCATAATGCGATGCTAAATATGATTTTATACGTGGTGAAATGGGTCCGGAAGATTTATTTTACAAAAAGATATTGTTTAGGTTTAAATATTATCTATAAAAAATTGCAATTTATAAAAATTTTCGACAACTAAACTATATTTTACTTTCATTATTATATGCCCGTCTGTTATTGTCGCCGAATTCAAATGCAGCTACGCGCATTGCTTTAGTTCACTACCAAATGATTGGTTGAAGTTATTTCTACGCCTGAAGCAAGTAATGCATCGGCAATTCTTTGCCTTTTACATTTATTTTAAAATTAAATATTTAAAATTAGCAAGATATTAAATTACAAAGAAAATTAGTGAAAATTATCATGTTGAAAAAAATCCTTACTACAGTATGTGAAGTACGTGAAGAGATCTTGAAAATTGATTTCTATAATGGTTATATCAAAAAGATATTACTTACGGTATCAGATTTCTAATTTTCAACACCGTTTGATAAATATCACCTTTCTTGATGGTTAAATCGCTTTTAAATTACCATTACCACTCGGCTTCTCGGATAATAGCATGTGGCAAACGTTCCCACGTCAAGATCAATTTTAACGATCGGATCGTTACAAGGTGTTTGTTCTTACGATCTTCTAATGACACAGATCATGAATATGAAATCTTTCGATCATAACTATTATATTGAATGACATAATTATCGCGCCACAATCTAGCATATGATCTAAAATAAATTTTTATAGCATGACTCGCGCAAACTTGCGTGACAGAGTCTCGCGCGCGATGTACAAATGTATGCTAGGTTTATCTTGCGAGAAGCATATCTTTAGATGGGATAAATTTATACAGTACATAAATTTAATTAAAATGAAGAAAGGAAATTTGAATAAGGATATAATTCAATGGAAAATATATATTTATAGCTTGAGCAAAATTGACTCGACTTAGGTCCTGAGCGAGTCGATGACTCGTCTAAACTAAGTCATATATTTATTAGCGTAAAATTTCGACACGCTCACCGAAATCTACCGATAGTCTGATCGATAGTCGCATTTTCAAAAATGGCCGACACGATTCGAACGAGTCACGATCCGCAGAGCCGCGCCCATCTCTACATCAGATACAACCACATATATTGTGTAGCAAATGTAGTCCTGTATTATACAATTAATGAATTTTATCAAGTAATAAAATGAGATTACAGCATGAAAAGATAAGATTTAATAGAGTGAAACAATATCGGTATGAAGCTTTTGAACGGACAAGCAGTCTGATCTGTATAATGCCTAAATCTGTAGACAAAAATGTTTGTGTTAATGTCGTGCTTTGAAGTTAGCATCTTCACCTGCCTAAAACTAATTAATGCATGCAAGACAGTTCAGGGCTAATTTCAGTCAATGCAACTTCAAACACCTGAAGTTGTAACTTTAAGCACAACATTAACAAATTTATTTGTAGATGATGTAAGGGACAAACCTAATTTTACTAGAATAAAAAAGATTTGTTTCTAATTATTTACGATTGCTGATTATAACAATAACGTATTGTGAGTTAAAAATCATAAATTTCTAAAAAGGTATTTAATTCTATATGCTTGAATATTATTGCCAATATTGCGCAAAACTATTCTATAAAATACTTTCCATTGGACATTATTTCAAAAACAAAAAGAAATAACAATTATATTAAAGAACTAAGCAATAACATGGATTAAATAATATCAAGAATAATCTAAGGTGCTTATATTTTAGCTCGATTCAAATAACAAATTATCCTATAGAACCTTCGACATTTCTTGTTATTATATCCAATTGACATGCGTTTTCAAATGCGTTTATGTGCTCTATATGATAATGATTTAGAATAGGTAAAATGAGCGTTAATCATCATTTCAAAAAAAAAGCAAAAAAACTTACTGATAACCGATTTTTTGCCAGGTTCTTGTAATTCACCAGCTATTATTAAGTAATAAGTAGTATTAGCATAAATTAATACGTTATTTAATACATTATTGATATATTAAGAAACAACATATTACCTAAAACCAATTCATCTAACACATAGTACGCCTAAGTAATTTTAAATTTATAAAAATTAAAAGAATATAAAATAAAAAAAAAAAACTATAAATGAAAATGGTTAAAAAAAATTATTAATAATACCTTATCAAAGTTATAAATAATATCTAATTCGCATACATTTCCAAAAAATTCATCAAGCAATTGTACGTAACGATGTATCACTTCTAAAACATATAATTCATTTTCTTCACTATCTATGCCTGCTGCAAAATAAAGACTTGCATATCTTGCGTGATTAAAAAAAAAAAACAAGATTATCTTAAGCTTAGAGTCTAAAGATTTTTACTTAATACTCATAATGGTGTTACCTTTTGTATATAACCTAAATAAATATGAACAAAAAAGAGATTCGTAATTTATAATAAAAAGTAATGCAAATAAAAAAAAATAAACAGACCTTATGTTCTCCGTGCTCCAATACGTTACACATTGCTCGTTTACGGGATAATATCAGTGTAGTTAAATCTGTTGTTAGGCTCGCTTTCTCCTTATCAGAAAACCAATGAAACCATTTTTTCAAGCGAATTTTTCCATGCCTACTAAAAATGAATAGATATAGAATCTACCATTATGGAATAGTAAAATTGGGTTAGTTATTATACTGTAAGTAATCAATTAAAAAGATTTGAACTTAGGAGGTTGTAAATATAAGAACCATCTTTTAACTATGACGATTGAAGAAAAAAAAAAAATTAAACTGGATTTATGCTGTGAAAAATTATATAAATGTATATATGTACAGTATTACATAATAATAATAATGTGTGTACCACTATTCACACATAATAGCCATTCTAAAAGCATGTCGGAAGGATAAGAACTTGGATCATCAATAAATTGTATAAGAGTAAGTACCTTCCAATTTTCGAAACCAGTTATTGAATTTAGTATCATTCATTCAAAAATTTACTAGTCTGACGACTACTTTAATGATAAGTGTGTAATCAATCATATAATCAATCGATCAACCGTGATGATCATAACCCATCCCTAACTATTATTCGATCATTAAAATTACCAGTTAGTAGTATCTAAATAATCTAGCGCTAGATATTACGTTACGACAATCATATAGCCAAATCCGAAAAACGATCCTCGGTCCCGTGATTTCCGAGCAAAATATATCCAATAAAAATTCAGAATATCATAAAATACTTTCACTGCGAATTCTCCGATATCTCATAATCTAAAAATTGCTCGGAAGTCACGGGACCGAGGATCGTTTTTTGCCACCACTGATCCACCTAAATCAGACCCTTCTCTATCGCCATAAAATCCGGTAGCTCTGTTCCTGGCAAATCGCACCTCAGGTCTCTTATATTCATGTTGTCCAAACTATATGAAAATAATAAGTACCGGTATCACATTGCTTTGAAAATGATAATATTTTCGTAAAAAAAATTTTTAGTTCTTTACATGATATTACTTTCATTATCACAAAATAAAAATGAAAAAAGTTCGCTAAGAAAATTTATTATACCGATAAAGAACAAATTACAAAGTGAATTTTACAAATACAGTAAATATTAGCAATATAAATAAAAATGTTCTCATTATTATTCTATCAAAGAAGACTCGTCATTATTTATCTTGCATATTTGCACTTTTCTGATGGTATGTTTCCATCCGTCGGAAAAGTCATTTGAAGATGTCCTTCCATTGTTTCACGTAGTGCTAATATTCTATTCCGATGTTCTTTAGACATAATACCAGTACACCCATCTACAGGTTTATTTACTGCATAAGCTCCAAATGACCACCAAGTTGATGCAGAATAGATTTCGGTTTCTATAATAGTTGTATAAAAACTAAGTATTGCAATAATGATACTTATCAGATGAATCAATGATTGTATAATTAAAACTAATCTAATTAACTTAATATCATTGAACTGATTGACATTGGTAGTAATTGTGCCTTCAATGGGCTCAGTAGAGCCAAATCCAGCATTAGCAAGATAATGACCTTTTCGCAATAATGATTTAATTTGCATGGCAAGAAACTCCAGTGAAAATTTTCCATTAGTATTATTGCCAAGATATGTTAAAAACGGACTCCAGTAAAGTTGAGATGTACCCATAGTCAATTGGTGTAAAGAAGGGATATTAAAATCCGCTATTTCTAACTGTCCTTTATTAGGCATCACAGTTGTAATATTTGTAACAGTTACATTTTTATGTGAAAATCTATATACACGTCCCCTTGTTGTTGTATATATTCCACATTACATATGGCCCTACTTAGATTACCAATGGTAGTAAAAATTTCCTGAAACAAATCACCAGACTGATGATTAGAAAAGTACAAAAGAGCCGGGATACCAGTAATATTAGTATTCACTGGGGAAACGACCTTTGCCTATACCATTTCCATATCGAAATGACACCATACCAACTATTCTAGATGATGACAATGAAACGACAGGGTAACTAAATGAATTTTCTCGGTAGACTGTTGAATTTCCAGGTAATTCAGTATCATTGGCCACCACATTGAATATAGAAAGATCATCATTGTTTCCAGAATTAATTTCAGTTAATGCCCGCTTGATTGTTTGATTGAATGTTGAATCGGATTCTACTGAGCAATTTACAGAATAATCAAATAAAGGTACATTTGAATAAGTAGCATTGGCATTAGCAGTTCCATTCATGATCTCTGTTATAGTAGGAACAGGCTGTTGATCTGAGAAAACCATCCCACCGTATTCACTCATACCAGTATTGTTGGCTACTTGACTGTTTGCCAAGTAGCCTTCAGGGGTAAGTTCAAACGGACACGTATTTAATTTCCGAACTAGGTTACCTATACTATATGAGCTGCAGTTGATAAGAGGAATTAATCCCAAACCTCCATTTGCAGAAATGACTTTTGCATGAGCAAATACATTCGTTACTAATTGTCCCTTATGAATTGTAAATGCTGTATTATGTAAAGCAGAGACTGCACCACCGAGGACAACCATCACAATGGCAGTAATCCAAGCTATTTTATTCAGCTTTAATTTTGAGGGACCTATCGATTGAGATAGATATGCGTATAGCTCACTTATCCTGAATGAATGTGCAACGCGCCATCGCAAATATGTCTCTTTGATAAATCGGATGGAACTCATCGCAGCAAATATGCAAATTGTATTGCCAAATTTAAAGCGTGATTCCATCGGCCTGCCGAAAACTATTATTTAACATATCTGAGAAACCGCGGTATATAATAGTACTAATGGTGAAATTCCTACAGCTGCTGTCAATAGTTCTAGACACAGTCTAATAAATTTCTCTTTTGCGCTCATACTATAACGTCTAAATTTTTTCTCTGCAGTTACCCATTTTTTATTTTCGTTAAAATCAGCGTCTTCTTTACCGATAAACATCTTTATTATTTCATACAAAAAAAAATTTTTTGATGAGATTAAACTATATAATATATAACCAACTAAATATCAATGGTATTGGATTATAATTTTTAAGTTCAAATATATACAATAAAAAAAGGTTGTTTCGTTTTTAATTCAAAAATATTATTGAAAAAAAAATCAAGATGGAGTCATTATAGATATAAAAACAGTTTTTACAATTAAAAAAAAATTAAAACTGTGCAGATTTTTTTTTATTTAAATAATTTGACTTTTCGATTCTGAACGTTTTCGAATAGCATCGATAAAAGTTAAAAAAAAAAACTAACTTTATTTTTGTAAGGATATTCATAACAATAGAGCTTTAACAACGTTTCATCGTTTCATATGCATAGTAGAGAGAAGAAAACATGGCATATGGAGTATTATCCAGGCCTCAATCAATGAGTCAAAAAGTGTCTGGGAATAAATTTTACTTAGCGGAAAATATTTAAAATTAATTAAGCGTGT